ATCAATGATTCTCTCTCATCATTGATATTTCTATCTTGTTCTTCTTAAAAAAATCAATAAAATTATATATTTTTAAAATTTATCCCTTTTTTTGAGGTGAAGACAAGAAATCCCTTTAGAATCACAAACTGGTTAAATGCCCTACTAGAAGGAGCTGGGAAGATGGTGACTGGCAAGCCGGAGGTGAGGGAGAGAGTGTGATTGAGTGATGAAGTGACAGGGGAGTGTGTGGATGTGTGCAGTGTGTGTGTGAATGAGTGAGGGACAGTTAAATCCAGCAGGAGTATCAGAGGCTGGCAGAAAAGGCTCTCCCGGACAGGGAGCCCCTATCACCACTGCAGGCACTCCCCGGGCTGTGGGGCTCGAGGAGGGAGCCCATGCCATATTGAAGGGGAGAGGGGCCTCCTCTAGGAACTCATCAGCACCACCACCCAGACTGGCCGTGGACACTGTTTGCGACCCTGCAGCCACACCCGCCAAAGGCCTGCTGCCTCACCGCAGACCTGCAGACCCTAGGACATCTACCTCCAAGGGCGGATGGCTCCCGAAGCAGTAAGTGGGACTTCCCCCTCCCTGACTGCTGACCTCTGGAAACTGCGGTCACGCTGAACCAGTGCTCGGGCACCCTGAGTCAGCCGCCCTGGCAGAGGGCTCTCTGGTGCCTCTGGGAGCCACTGCTGGGTACTCACGTATCCAAACAAGAATGCACGGCCCCGGCAGTAGAAACTCGGACTTCCCCATTCCTAGCTGACTGCCCAGAGACACAGTGGTCATGTGGTTTCATCACACAGGTCTCCTGAGTCTGCCACCCCAGCAGACAGCTCCCTGGTGCCTCTGTGAGCAGTTGCTGGGCGCACTCCTATCCAATCAAGGGCAGAAGACCCTGGCTGCAGTACCTCAGACTTCACCCTCCTCGATTGCTGCCTTCCGGAGTCACACCGATCAGTCGCACAGCCTCTCTGAGTCCACTGTCCCGCAGGCGGCTCCCAGGTAACTCTCTGAGCCACCATAAGGCATGACCCTGGCTGCCAGAATCCAGTCCCTGTGATAGCGCTGCTCCAGGACGTGGGCCCCCAGAGCCCACCGCCCCAGCAGGTAACTCCTAGGTTGCTCTGTAAGCCACTGCTGGGCGCTCATATCCAACCAAGGGTGCACAGCTCCAAAAGCAGAAACTGGGACTTCTCCCTACCCCAGTCAGCAGCACACCACGATCGATCGTGCAGCTCCAACGTGTGGGCCCCACGAGCACACAGCTCCACCGTATGGCTCCTGGGCCCTTCTGTGAGCTTCCGTTGGGTGTGTGCATGCAGCTCCCACGTGTGGGCCCCACGAGCACACAGCTCCACCGTATGGCTCCTGGGCCCTTCTGTGAGCTTCCGTTGGGTGTGTGCCTCTCCAACCAAGGTCACATGGCTCCCTGAACAGGATCCATGGCTGCCTACCTCTGGACACCTTGGTGAGTTACTGAGGACTCGCCTTGCCATACAAGGTCACATTGATTGGCCACAGACTCCCAGATTCCCACAACCACAGCTGCTGGCTCCAGAACACCCTTGTGATTCAGAGAGGGAAATCACTTTGGCCAGAGTCCCACTGCCTCAACTGCAGACTACAGGAGAGCTGCCCCCCCCACCCCCACTCACTGTCCCGGACTCTGGGAGCCTCGTAGTGAGTTACAGAGAGACGCTACCCCAGCAAGAGTCACACAACACCAGCCAAAGTCACCATTGCTGAGCCTTTGGCCCCAAGACCCCTTCCTCCCAAGCCCATGCACTCTGGGAACTAACAGTGAGCACATAACAGGGAAACCTCAGGCAACCCTTTCCACAAGAGCTAGAACCGCGATCACATCTACAAGAGCTTGCACAATGAAACTGGGGGTGAGTCACATTGCCCATATGTGATGAGACTACAGCCATGAAAAATAAACTAACATTCAAGACCCAACTACATCAAGAGAACCCAAATAACACAAATAGGGGGCTCCGCTAGATCACCAAGCCCAGGAGATCTGAGAGACTGCACCACTGGGTTCCAAAAATCACCAACCACCCCCAAAACAACCTGGGTAGCAAAGCAGCTGGATCTAAGACATAGAAACAAAACATTTCAGCAAAAAGTGGGAAGACATAAAAACAATCCCCAAAGGAAAGAAAAGAAGAAATCACCAGATAGGGAATTAAATGAGATGGAGGCAAGTAACTCGTCAGAGAAAGAATTCAGAGTAATGGTTATAAGGATGCTCAAACGTCTGGATGAC